TTGCATTTCTGTGAATATGTATAAATGTAAATATGTATCTTATAATCATCAGCCAAAACACACTGAATTGAGAGATAATTAATTCTAGGACATTTGGATGTTAAATACCAAGAGGCTTTCTACTAGGAAAAACATTAATTGCAAAGTCATTCTGTGGACTCTGCTTACGCATTACATTTGTTCAAATGGGTTAAATTGCAGCTTTAGTGTATAAACTTAACTATACCCTTAACATCGGAATTCTCAGTCAAAATGGGAAAATAATAATGTTCTCCTCAAGGGAGTTTTTGTAAAAATTAAATTAGATAATGCACATCAAGTAGTTAGTACAGTGCCCTAGCATATAGCATATGCACAATAAATGGTTCCCATTAATTATTTGTATTATCTGTCTAGCAATTGCAACTTATAAGATTTACACATGCATTATCTTGCTTGATTCTTAAGACAAAACAACTTTATGCAGGAGAGAGACAGGACATGGATTATTATCTCCACTTCACAAATAAAAAGACAAACACTTAAAAGAATTCGGCCAGGCATGGTGGCTATTCCCTGTAATCCCAGCACTTTGGGAGGCCAAGGCAGGAGGATTGCTTGAGGCCAGGAGTTCAAGACCAGCCTGGGCACACAGTCAGACCCTGTCTCAAAATAAAATAAAATAAAATAAAATAATAAAGAGAATAAAATAAAGGTCAAAGTAAACTGCCTGAAGTTACATGATTACCTAGAAATACCTGTCATGATTGGATATAAACCACCATATAAACCAGGGGTTTGTAAACTTTTTCCAAAAAAGCCAAATAGTGGTTTGCAGCCCGTATAGTCTCTATCACAGATAGTCAATGCTGCCACTATAGCACAAAAGCAGCCATAGATAATACGTAAATAAAAGGGTGGAACTGTGTTCCAATAAAACCTTATTTACAAAAATAGGCAGTGGGTTGAATTAGGTTCATAGGCCAGAGTTTGCAGACCCCTGCCCTAGACCTTTAGATTACTAGTCTAGTGTACTTTTCCATTACTTTATGGTTACCACCTATTTTCAGGATAGTATTTTAGCATTAAACTTAATAGTATTAACTGTCAGAGAAAAGATAAATCAGGAATAATTTGTAGAAGAACCATGAATACAGTAAGATATTATACAAATATTAGTATTCTGCTTTTTCCACTTTTACAGCTTCTATTATAAAACTCTCTCTTAATCCTTCCTTTCTTCCTTTCTCTTCTAATAAAAGATTGGGCCTAGAAGTAAACACTCTTCTATCTCTCCAAAAAGTACTCAAAACAAATCTGTAGAATATTATTCTAAAGAAAGTAGTGGACATTCCATAAGACACCAGAATGAGCAAACTTAACAATATCCTTTAAAAATGGTAAGCAATGTGAAACTTCTGAACCTAACTTGTATGAGCATGTTTTACAGGGGATGGAGGGAACAACATTAAGCAACTAGTTTATTCTCAATCTGAAAGAACAGAGTGATTATCAGTTTTCTCATTACAGAATCCATATAATATGCTATGGTGGTAAAGACACTAGACTTGGAATTGAAAGACCTAATTTGGAATTCTTCCTCTGGTACTTACTTTGTGGCCTAGTAACCTACATATGAGGAGTTGCTGTGAGGATTAAGACAAATTATTTTAAAATTCCTAGCATCATAAGCATTGATTGTTGCTGCATTTGAAAATATAAACTTCTTAATGAAGTTCTCTTCTATATTTTTAATAAACTACAATATGATACAATATTCTATAACAGTACAATATCATTTATAAAACATCTAAAATATCTATTGCTAAAGTATAAAGCACTTTTTTGTCAAGGAGCTAAAAGTTCTTAAAACATATTCTCTCATTTAAAACCATAATATTCCTTTGAAATTAAAACAAACCAGAATTTATTGAGTGATATGTGCTAGGTATTTTATACATATCAACTCATTTAACCTTCACAACAACCTTGAGAAGAAACAGGCTTAGTTAAATGAAATGACTTGTCCAAGGAACACAGCTTCTAAGTGGCAGCAGATCTTGGGATACCCAGGTTACACTGAATATAACCTGTCATTATTTATTTTCATTATTTAACACTGTTTCTTCAGTTTTTTGACTTGGGGTCCACAAAAATCAAAGTGCCTCATATATGGTCAAAGAATAATTACTTTCAGTGTGGTACAAGGCAAACTAGATTAAATTACATCCAAATAACATACTAATTTAAAGACAATCCCTGATTAATCTACTGTTGGTCTCAAAAATATATTGGTAAATAGAGCAAAACCAGTCTACTTACCACTAGTTAAATAAATTAGGGTATTCCCAAGTTAAGCTTTAGATGTCCAAAGAAACAAATGTAGAATTTTGATTAGACAGAAAAATAAACCAAAGAACAAATTTCCTCAAACTCTAATGGTATACTAATAAACGTAAGAACATTTCTAAACCTCCTAGCAGGTTTCATGCCTGAAAGCCCTTCCAGAAAGCAGATTTCCTCCTCAATGATTTTTTCTCATGAGATTTATAGAAATTATCCCAAAAAGAAATTGGTGATTCTAGTGCTTTTGAAGAACTAAAACTCAGTAGATTAGAAGTTTTTAAATCCTGACTTTAAATATAACATATAAAGTAAGGGAATAAAAGTATACAAAATACTTTGTAAATCTACGACCTTCCTTCCACTTTGTTTAAACCAGTATGGTCCTTGAGAGTAGGAGCCTTTTTTTTTTCCCTTGCTAAAATAAAATAAACTTCAATTCCACCCTGTGTTGCTTACCTGTTGCACAGTATGCTGAGAGCTCCATGTGGACTACAGTCACATGGCTGACAGAGTCCAGAAGTGTAATTTGGGTAAAAGCCCTCTTTGCAGGTTTCACAGTGAAGCCCCTGATAACCTGGCTGACACTCACACTGTCCTGTGGTCTGGTTGCAGCGATTCACATCCAGGCTTCCAATCACAGAGCAGTTACATACATATTCTGCAAAGGAAAGAAGGAAAGAGACATTACCAACTAAGATTTAATGCCCTCTTAATAAAATGAACTCTATTTTATTTTTCTTAATGAGTTTTCATGACAACTTTGTAAGGATAGATAAAATTAACTCTAGTTTAAATTTACTTTCTATCCTGTTTAGCTTATTTAAATCAAGAAACATATGGAGAATATAAATTATGTAGAGAGAGAGTGTGTGTGTGTATGTATGTATTATTAGTTTTTCTGAATTACATGCCACCAAAGGCAGGTTTATCTACGTAACACTAAGGAAACATGTTGGAAATGACAACATGTTAAATAATAAATAATCCCATTGTAGAGCAGCAAAAGCCTAAGGCCCAGATGATTAACTTTGGTAACCTATTTAAGGTCACACGAGATTGTGCTATAGCTAGAATCATAAGCTAATATGCTCTGCCCAGGAAGAAATTAATGAAGAGGTCTTTTCCTCTCAGAGACCCCGTCCTCTACGAAAGATGCTGTTTCTCTTTCTCTTCTACCTATTAAACCTCCACTCCTAAACTTAAAAAAAAAAAAAAAAAAGAAATTAATGGAGAATTGAAACTTTAAGGAAATGATGAACAATAAATCCAGAGGAGAAAGTTTACAGGTTCATCCTGGTTTGTGAGTTAAAACCAATCACAATTTGAATGTCTTTCCCAAATTAAAATATTTGGAAAATAAACATTTCTTTTAAATATATTTCAAACAGTTCTCTGTTGTTTGCTTCACTTTTTTCACTTTTCAAAAGCAATGTTTTGATTTTTAGTTTTTGTGAGTACATAGCAGGTGTATAAGGTGTGTATATTTATGGGGTACCTGAGATATTCTGACACTGGTATGCAACGTGTAATAATTACATAGGGGTAAATGGGATATCCATCACCTCAAGCATTTATCCTTTGTGTTACAAACAATCCAGTTATACTCTTTTAGTTATTTTAACATGTACAATTAAATTATCATTAATTATTAAATTATTCACCATAGTCACTCTGTTGTGCTACCAAATACTAGGTCTTATTCATTCTTTCTATTTTTTTTTTGTACCCATTAACTATCCCCACTTCCTCCCCACCACACACCTGCCTACTACTCTTCGCAGTCAGACAGTTCTTTGGATAAAAAATATTTAGAAGCCCTTAGTTTCAGCCTTCTAATGCAAAGATTCATTTAAAGGTCAGTTAGGATTTGTTTTTTTGCTACTGCTTCTATTCATTTTATCAAAAGGAAAGTGTTATCAACATAGTTTGATACAGTATTCACAGATGACTTTGCATTAACATATTTATTCTAGCAATAGGTACCAATCGAAAAGAGCTATGATCCTACCCTTAAAAGGTCCTGAGAAATTTATGGTACAAATTATAGTTCTAAATAGGTAAGGCACTATATAAAATGGCACTGTACCAATAAAGTTTAGCTTGGAAAAAAAAGTCTTTAATATTATTTCTGATTATTTCAAAAAGCTATGAGACAACTGCAAATCCAGAGTCTTACATAGAAAGCTATAAAGGGGTTTGTGTCTCTATTCTAGAAAAGGAAATTAAGCTTCAAAATTCTTTATATAATTACAAGAAGCTTATTTATTCACACAAGTCAAAATAAAAGATTGCTCAAAGAAATTCCCACTTGGCCAAATCTATACCTCCCACACTTCTGCAGTTCCTAACCTTTGGTATCACCATTTCCCTGCTCTTCAGAGCTCTTCTAGTTCGTAAAGATAACAAATAACAAATAAATAGGCCAGGTGTAGTGGCTCATGCCTGTAATCCTAGCACTTTGGGAGGCCAAGGTAGGCAGATTGCTTGAGCTTAGGAGTTTGAGATCAGCCTGGGCAACATGGTTGCCCACCTCTACAAAAAAAATACAAAAATTAGCTGGGTGGCGTGGCATGCACCTGTAGTCCTGGCTACTCTGGAGGCTGAGGTGGGAGGATCACCTGAGCCTGGGAGGCTGAGGTTACAGTGAGCGAAGATCTTGCCACTGCACCCCAGCCTGGGTGACACAGTGAGACCTGTCTCAAAAAATAAATAAATAAATAAAGTAAAATAAATAAATAAATATTGACAGCTTATTTATTTTATGTCTGTTTCAAACTTGGGTGGTAAATTAGTTACAAAACCCAAAGGAAAGTTCAGATTTCTTCAGCCTCAAGCTTAGGAAAGGAACCAGCTTCCCATTACAATCAAGATTCTTATTTTCACTAGGCTATATAAGCATGACATTTCTTTGACGGAGTTACATGTTTTCACATATCTACTTTTTGTATATGTGTGTTGTGGTTTTTGTAAATAACAAAGCCACGTTCAGTGGTCTGTAAACCTGCCAATGACAACTTCATGACAAGACCTTCACTCCACCAGAAATGACCAGAACACTTAAAATAACATTTTTCTTCTGAAATCTGGCAGAAATTCAACTTATATCCAACTCCTCCTGCTGGATCTATTTTATCACAAGTTAAACTAATCAAATTATGTTGGTGTCAGCAGAACTAGCTCAAGAAAAAATGAAAATACTAAAAAAAAAAAAATCTATAATAAATACTATGAATTTTATTATTTCCTTACTAAGAAATTTCCATCTGAAAACTGAGTCAGTGTTCCCAAGGAGTAAGATTAGCAATATTTTTTAAAGAATTCAATTGAATCTAAGAACTCAGATATAAACACTTAATATTTTTCCCAGTTAAGTTCTAATGGATAAACTTTCAATACTAACCAAGTTCACTAGTTATTATTTCTATAGTCAGTCTAATATCTTCGTTATTCCCTGAACATACTCTGGTTAGTCTTGTCTCTGAACCTTTGCTTATTCTGTGTATCTTGGAATGCTCTTTTTCATATATTTAAACCTATTCTCTATTTTAAGAATCAACTGAAACTCACTTCTCCATTAACTCTAACTGTACTGCCCCTATTATGAATCAGTAAGAATAGCTACTACCTAAACCTCTCAAATGACAACAGTTTGAAGAGGCAGTAAGGCAAAGCAGTTAGAGCACAGATTGTAGAAGTAGATGGCTAAGATTTAAATCCTGCTCTCTCGCTAACTTTATCACCTTAGGCAAGTTAATTAACCTCTGTGTGCCTTCATTTTTTCTTCTGTAAACAGGGCATGATAATAGGACCTCTAACACTCAGCCCCAATACTTAAGCTGGAAGTGGTTTGGAATACTGCGATAATTAATACAACAGCTGGAAAAAAGTAGAAAGTGATATCAGATAAAATAATAAATGCAATTCAGATGTTAGATTAACAGGCCACAGCTTCATTATACCCTGAGGATAAAATCTAAAAGGCTGATAATGGGTTTAGTACCATAGCAGCTTTTAATAATGTCTGGAAAACAGAATTAGTGTCCTGTTATGCAGAAATCCATGTTGTGGGTCATCCAAGCAGACAATAAGAGGATATTCTATTCATACTAGGCTCCACTCATTAACAATATATGTGCCTAAAAATACAGTGGTAAAAACAGAAGGATTTAGGATGTATGTTCAGAGAAGATGAAAAATGAACATTTCTTTATTATTCATCCTTGGTACTGGGCCAGGCACGGTGCCTTACCTCTGTAATCTCAGTCAGCACTTTGGGAGGATGAGGCGGGCGGATCAAGGGATCGAGACCATTCTGGCCAATATAGTGAAACCTCATCTCTACCAAAAATACAAAAATTAGCTGGATGTAGTGGCAGGCACCTGTAGTCCCAGCTACTCGGGAGGCTGAGGCAGGAGAATTGCTTGAACCCAAGAGGCGGAGGTTGCAGTGAGCCGAGATTGCGCCACTGTACTCCGGCCTGGCAACAGAGAGAGACTCTGTCTCAAAAAAAAAAAAAAAAAAAAAAGCTGGCAATATGAAAAAAGAAGGAAGTTTCAATTGATAGAAGCAATGCGAAGGACCAAAGACAAGAGAAAGTGCTGACTTTTCAATGAGTTAGAATCTTAGACACCCAAGTAGCACAAAGGAGTCTGCAACATGATTAATGGCAAGTCACCAGTGTCGATGTTAATAGGAATGAAACAATATGAAGAGGACACCAAACGCTAATTACAGACAAGTGTGAATAAGATGCCAAAAAGCTCACTCAATTGCTTAAAAGTAAATATGGAATAAACTCTTTGTCATGTGAGTGGCAGGTTTCCTTTCATGCCCTTTAATTCTTTATAAAACTCTGTAGAGAAATAGAGAAGGGTAATGTAAATGTTCTCAGAGAGAGCATAATCTGGCAACATTTTTTCCTTTTGTTGTCTGGCTTCTGAAGAACAATAAAATATAGTGATTTTCACCCTGAAGAAGAATAAGAAACTAAAATCTGTGCCAAACTGCTTTAAGTATTTGAAAATAGAAATATAAAGTCCCAGAGAAAATAAAATGCTGCACTTTTTCAAACATTCCAAAAGCCAAGAGATGAAAAAATTTTAGCACTAAAAGAAAGAGAGTATTTTGTTTACAAATCCCCTAAGTTCCCCTGCCACCTACCCCTACCTGCCCTGCCCTTTGTCCACAAACATTTGCCCTGGTAAGAGATTATCTACTTGAACATACTGAAGACCTTTTCTAGGCCTCTCATATACCTGGTAGACTCCCTCTTCATCCAACTTTTAATCATCTCATAAAGAATATTTGGTGTGTGCTGGTATTCAGCTTGTTTGCATTAATGATAGCAGTTTTTGAAAAATACTAATTGTGACTGTATGTCCTAATGAATGTGTCCTCTCTCTGTATGTCTCTTTTTGAAGTCCTTTCTGAGTGCTAAAATTAACTGTAATGCTCAGTTTGGTACAATTGCGTGTTAAACTTTAAAGATAAAAAAACATAAAAACAGTAAAATGAAAATTTGCATAACAAAATGAAAAAACTATGTCCTCAGTCATGATGCAAATCTCCTAGAACAAAGAAATGTTACACTGACAACAATACTGTTGCTAAACTAAAATGATTACAAAATTATTGCATTTAAACACAGATACTGGAAAACTACTTGTAGCTATAACTAATACAGAGCACTCACAGGAATCTGGTTCAGGAAGACAAACTGAAATTTCATCTATATAGCCTTTTGCAAAATTGCATAAATACCTTTCCAAAACTCAATTTCTGACTCCTTTGCATTAATTCAACAATTTCACTCTTGTTTTTTTCCTCCTTTTATTGTTAACACGGAATACCTATTTGTGCAATACAGAGTGATATTTCTTTTTTTTTTTTTTTTAAGAGACAGTCTCACTCTGCTGCCCAGGCTGGAGTGCAGGGGCGCAATCTCAGCTCACTGCAGCCTCCGCCTCCCGGGTTCTAGTAAATAGCCTCAGCCTCCTGAGTAGCTGAGATTACAGGTGCATGCTGCCATGTCCAGCTAATTTCTTGAATTTTAGTAGAGACGGGGCTTCACCGTGTTGCCCAGGCTGGTCTCGAACTCCTGAGCTCAGGCACTCCACCTGTCTCGGCCTCCTAAAGTGCTAGGATTATAGGTGTGAGCCACCACACTCCACCACAGAGTGATAGTTCAATACATGCATGCAATGTGTAATGATCAAATCAGACTAAATAGCATACCCATTACCTCAGACACTGATCGTTTCATTGTACTGTAAATATTCAAAATTCTCTCTTCTAACTTTTTGAAAACATAAATTACAGCTAATCATATTCACCCTATTGTGCTACAGAACACCAGTACTCATTTAGTACTATCCAGCTATAATTTTGTATACATTAACGAATCGCTTCCCATCCTTCCTTCTCACCTACTCTTCATGGCTTCTAATACCTACAGTTCTACTCTTTACTTCCATGAGTTCGAAATTTTTTTTATCTCACACATATGAGTAAGAACATGCAGTATTTATCTTTCTGTGCCTTATTTTAGTTAACATAACCTCCAGCTTCATCCATATTTCCACAAATAACAGGATTTCATTCTTTTTTATGGCTGCATAGCAGCAATGCAGGGGAATTTTGAGGGAGTAATGAAACCATTTTGTATCTTGATTATGTACATATCAAAACTAATAGAACTACTGCACATCAAATGAATAAATTTCTTTATATATAAATTTTTAAATATGCAAAAAAAAATTTAAGCAACGACGTTTTACTAGACTCAATTTTTAAAATTTTGCTAGAAGGATGCCTTTGTGTCCCATAAGCAACTGTTTCAACTGAGCTGTGGCACTGAAGTCCACAGGGGACCCAACTAATGATTAAGGCTTTTTCAAAGTGACTGTTACACTTACAATAGCAGGAAGTGATTAATGCTTCAGCTAATTATTGCATAAGGAGTTGTGGAACATTTTAGTATTTAAAATACTATTTCACTTAAAAGAAGTACAATCTTTTCTTTTCCCTTTGGCTCCAACTTAAGTATTAGGTTGCAACTGCTCCTATGTACAATGAAGGAGAAGAGGAAAAAAATGAAAGATAAAGATGTCTAGGATCACTATGCTTTTTCCACATGCAATTGTTTGTTTCCTTTTGAGAGTCATCATTAAAAACCCTACTCTGTTTAAATAGAGACCAGGAAAATGCATGTAAATATACCTTTCAATCTATCTAATCTATCCAACATAGAACTTCACCCATTTTCACAAGCACAGGATTGGATCCACGAAAATTACATCTTTCCTGATTTTCAAATTGAAAAGAAAAGAAAAAATGATTGTCAAAATCAAGAGTAGGAATACACAATTCAAACCTCTGCATGTACATCAAATGATTCTTTTAAAAAAACCAACAAACTGGCTGGATGCAGTGGCTCACACCTGTAATCTCAGCACTTTGCGAGGCTAAGGCGGGCAGATCACTGGAGGTCAGGAATTCAAGACCAGCCTGGCCAACATGGCAAAATCCCTTCTCTACCGAAAATATAAAAATTAGTCGGGCATGGTGGCATGCACCTGTCATCCCAGCTACTCTGGAGGCTGAGACAGGAGAACTGCTTGAACCCAGGAGGCAGAAGTTGCAGTGAGATAAGATGGTGCCACTGCACTCCAATCCAGGTGACAGAGCAAGGCCCTATCTTCAAAACAAACAAACCCCAAAAACCAACAAACTATATTATCTTGACTACAGGCCTGATTTCCTAAGTATATAGTGTATTTCAAAATGTACTTTTTATTAGGACCATATTTCATGTTTTAGGTTTGAAGAAAAGGAATCTCAGAAAAGCCTAATTCTAGGGAAAAGGAATTATCAACATGAGAGTTTTTGTTTTGAGAGGCAGAGTTTTACTCTAGAGTAACATTAATACTCAAATTACATTTCACATTTATATTATGCCAAGGTGTGGCCACAAATCTTTGAAAACCTAGGAAACTTAATATTAAAGCTGATGAATTTCTTTAGTTAAATCAGACTTTGTAGAGATGTGCAGTATTAAAGCCATTACTTTTCAAGAAAAGCTTTAACCTTTGTTCCAAAATAAAAATGTATCAATTAAAATTCCCAGTAACAATTTACTAGAGCAAAACATTTCTTCAGCTTTATGGTAGACATATGAAATAAACGGAGCAACATAACCCAGGTTTTGTAGAAAATTTTCCGTCCCATATTTAAAAACCATGTTGTTAGTGCTTGTCCCTGGCTCTCTACCAGTTTTCCACAATTCAAAGATAATTCATCTAATTAATGAGACAAGATGACATGTTCTGGAAAAGGTTGTAAAGGCTAGTTTTTACTACTAATAACAAAGATGATATTACCAGCTATTAAGCATATACTACACATATATCAGACATCACACTAGAACTGTACACAAATGGTCTCCTTTAGTGTTCACCACAGTCCTGTGATGCAGGTACCTTAAGCGAGGAATCTGAGTTTCAGATAGATGAAACAAATCATACAAGTAACCAGTACTGGAGAAGAGATTAAAACCCAAACTGAGTTAACTCCAAAGTCCATGTCTTTTCACTCTGAGAAGCCAAACAATCAGAGAGACCCAGACCACCTTAAAATCCAACTTTGCTGCTAATTAATCAGCTCTAGGACCTTCATTGAGTCTGTTTGGAGTTTCAGTGTCTCAATGTATAAAATGTAGATAATTCTTTTCATCTATCATGAAAAATAATTAAAGGTCAAATTACATATGGTGAAATATATTGTTTTTGGTTTACAAAAACTTTTTTTTAATTGAGCCACTGGTGTATCTAGTAATACTAATAAGTAAATCAGAAGGCAATTTCCTTTGAAAATTTTGAATGTATATGTTATGTTTTAAGGGAAAATCATGGGTTTTAAATTGCTCAATGATGGAAAATTTTCTCATAGTTCTCCAAAGTTCTCATAGTGCCTTAGCACAGTAGTGATCAATAAATAGCTACAAATATCCGTTCAACTTTGATTCCATTTTATAAAATAAAATTAGAACTGGTCAATTTAAAAGACAAAGATCTTCAAGATTCAATAAAACCCCACAAAATCTAGCTACAAAC